CTGTGCTCTTGCCGAGAATTAATTACACATTGATTCCTGCTGATTGGACTTGCTGACGTCCAACAAACTCGTCCAGGGCGTCCACTGTCCAAGGGGTCTCTGTTCAGCGTGTACGCTTCTTCCTCTACTGGAGAGTTATTTCAATGACTGTTCAATAACTGATAATGAGGGCTACTGGTTCGTGATTGAGCACCTACTACCCGTGACACTTGATCGCGGGAAATATCTTTAATTGCTTTAACTTGTGATAAATCACCACCCCAACAAATTCCCTTGAGTTTCTCTAGTAGTAGTATTATGGCCCTCATTGTCAGTCATTGAAAGGCTGAGGGACTACCGAAGTACATCGGATTGTCTAGGGGATAGGTAGAACAAACCGTTTTTTCTTTCAATACCTTAATTTTCTTTTAGGTTTCTTTGGCTAGTGTAGGTGACTAATTTGGGGAGAATTAGTTAATTAATCAATTATTTAATGTCCAATTGCAGATGTCTCTCAAAATGGGAGCCGAAATGAAGCAATATGTATTATCTATACTGCCTCATCTCATACGGGTAATGAATCAGAAGGATGGTCAGCGAACATTGTTGGAAAACACAGGTGAGTGTTTTTGAACAATTCTTCCATAGCATGCTGATGAAGGTTCTTTATGTTGTGAGTGCTGAGCTGTTTTTGTTTCTCTGTCCACTCGTTGCTAAATGCTCACAACATTTTACTAGAGGCACACGCAAGGCTTGTAGTTATTTCGCTGCAGAGAAAGACACAAGGACGTGTCATAGAAGTGGGGGGGTATGGGTGTGCGGCTGGGCTTCTCCAGCTCGTTCTGTACCATTTGCTGAAGGGCTATATATCGTAGAAGTGGATGTAACTGCGCAGTCAAGGTAGCCACTTTGTAGTGACCCATCAGCGAATGAGGATGGGGTGTCCTGAGCAGTAAAATATCTGGCGGGTGCTGAGAATCAGGCTGTTCAACAAAGAGCGTTTTTTAATTGTTTTGCGGGCAAGACATGAAATTTCGTTTCGATTTGATGAGATATGTTGCAGCGATTACGATTGGTCGTTTGGGAACGTACTGTGCCGAAGAAGTTGCCCCTCATCTAGTGACTTTTATCCGGCCAGCATGCTTCAGTCTACGGAATATCAGAGGACAACGCAGAAAAAGAGAGCGCTTTCCGAGGAATTTGCTATATGATAAACCTGAATCCATCTGGGGTCGTTAATGTAGGTCTTTCGCTTATTCTTCTTTTCTGTTTTTTTTTTTTTTTTCATTTTTTTTTGGTTAGAACAGAAAAGTCACTTCACTGAATGTTTTGTTGTGCGAAATTTCGCTAACTTTCACAAATTTGGACTCACTTGAATCTCTCAGGAAATGAAAATTGTGAACGTTTAGGATTTCGTTTTCCTGTGTGATGCGATTGCCTCGTGGTCAGCACCAAAGCCTGAGCTAAAGGAGATGTTTTCACGGGTGCGTGAGTTGGTTAATAGAAACTCCTGTTTGGCTGTATCAAATTGCCGCTTAAATTAACGCTTAATTCCGTTGATGGTGTTTCAATTCTTTCCCCCCCCCCCCGGCTCCCCTTTCAGCTCAGGGTCCACAAACTCAATCCCTGTATAAGGTGAGAGTCTGCAAAATGCGAGAAGGTCTTGTTAACCTGATGTAAGGCGACGTTCCTACAACATAAATAGCGTGTGTACATTTTGTAAGGGAAAGTGTGCTTTCGTGCTCACAAGGAAATCCCAACAGGTCGATCGCGGCCATTTGCAATGAGATGTATACATATGGACGTGTCTTGAGCCGCTGAATCCAAATCTGCCCTCCGAATTTGCGGAACGATTCTCTGAAGGGAGTTACGGACCATTTAATCTTTGTTCTGTTTGCACAAGTTGAGAAGGATAAGTGCTTACGGCAAGCGGTCGATGGCCTAGTGGATAAGCGCACTGCTTCAGAGACACGAGGTCGCATGTTGGAATCCTTGACTCTTGAGAATTTTTGCTTTTGTTCAAAACACTTGATATGAGCCCCCAAAAAACTTCTGTTTGGCCATTTTACCTAGTTTTTGATTATTTGCTCAACGGAAGCGCAGCGATTCTGTTATGGTCCCTTTTGAGTTTATTGAGCATACTCGCTGTTCCATGAAGTGAGGCGGCGAGTTTCCTTTACCCGAAAAGCGTAAAATCGCCTACCAGTCTAACCTGCGTTGCAGTATCTCCGTTGATTGCATCGTGAACGTCACACGTTCCAAGTGAAAAGTTCACGCTCCTCCTCACGAGATCGCGATGCCGCAAAAACAAAGGAGTCTTCTGTTTGGGGCGCCTTCAGTCTTCGTCGCACTCCCGTCGTCCTCTGGACTGCTATAGGAGGAGTCGTCAACATGCCATAATTCCTCATAGTCTCCTCCGTCGATCGCGCGATTACTAATTTGTCCGTATACGGCGTCTCGCAAGATAGACCCAAAGCTTTTCTATTGAAGACAGCTCCCGCGATAAAAGTCTCATGGATAGCTGCTTTCCAATTATGAAACAGCAGCTGATAAGTAATCTCCCAAAGAAGAAAACAGGCAAGAAGCGTCCTCCAGAACAACAAAAAAAATCGCTCCCTCACAGTCACACCTCCCTGCGGTCTCTGTGCAACCCCTAGCTCACAAGTCTCTCTATCACATCTCGCAGTAGTTGATATCATCCAGTGCAAAAGAAAGAATACAAAAAGAAAACAACAAAAAACGCAGAGGAAAAACTCTGGGAAGGAAAAAGGAATTTTATCAACACGGTGTCTGAATTTGTGATTACGGTAAACGCGCCTTTTGTGCGTCGTGGTTTTGCGCATCACCGAAAATTGCGTCTCACTCGTTTTTTACGCGTTTTTCAGCACCTCGCGAAATGGGTTGAATTGAATGTATATACCTCCAATGAGTGAACTGTAATGAAGGAGAGCAGAAATATCCAGGGGCATTAGCAATGCCCGCGCTCCAATTAACTAAGAACAAGTGAGTGGCTCCGCGGAAGGAAACATCTAGGCAAGTAAAGGCGGCCCGACTGAGGAGGAGTTAGAACTAGCACTTTGAGCGGCTATAGCAGCCTTCACGCTCACAATAGAGTCGCGAAAGGTGAACAGTCTTCTAGCTTGGAGGCTAGACTACTTGCACAGCAAAGGCGACCACGAGCCACTTTGATCGCGGGGCTGTCTTTAATTTCCGCTCCTTCCGAGATGTATGAATGTTATTTCACAGGAACGAAGTCCCTCTACAGATACGGCAGTACAAGCTTTGGGCTAAAACATCTCGACAGAACAAGAAAGCAACCGCGATTACTTTATGCTGAATGCCACGTGTCGGTAGATCACAATCGGGATGATCATATCGGATAATTCTGCAAGCGTAGACAGAATATTGTACAGAATCAAAACAAAATTCAGCACATGCTCGCGCCTCTCGGAGTGGTTGGAAAACATAAAAGTTTTCAAAGGAACCACAAATGGAGAATCGGCCTGCCTTCCGTTGGCAAATAATCAAAACTAGGTAAAATGGCCAAACAGAAGTTTTTTGGGGGCTCTATCAAATGTTTCGAAGCAAAAGCAAAAAAGAATTATTTTTTATTCCAGAGAGCAGGACTCCAGCACGCGACGGTGCTCTCTGAGCAGTGCTTATCCACTAGGCATTGGCCGCTTACCGTAGTGCAAGCATCCATTTTCAACTTTTGCTGAGAGCAAAACAAAGATTAAATGGTCCATTAACTCCACTTCAGAGAATCGTACGCAATTTTTGAGGGCAGATTTGGCTTCGCGCTCAAGGCACGTCCAATATGTATACATCGCCCCATTGCAAACGGCCGTATCGACCTGTTGGGGTTCCCTTGTGAGTGCCTTCAGTTCATCCTTCTGTACAGGTATTGAGCCACGTGACTCACGGTCCTGTAGTCAATCCTGTCTTGTCAACCGTTTTTTTTTGGACAGGATTGAGCTTTTCGCACATGCAAAAACGGCAGTTTCAGAGGACTCAGGCAGTTTTTCAGTAATCCAAGCTCTGCTAATGTGCTCATGACACCCAACCAGACTTCACCTTTCCAGTGTAATGCGCTAGCCCTTCCTTCCCGAGTGTACTGAATGGGGTCTTTCAAATCATGGAGCGTTCTCTCGAAATGGTTATTGGTATGATGTAGGGAGGGTGGAGGGTGCAAAAAGTAACGTTCATTCTCACTGAGCGGTTGTACTCATTAACGATGGACAAAAAGTTCAGCCTATAGCAATACAAAAAATGGGTATCAGAAAACATTTTGTTCCCGTGAGGAATAAAGCAACCAACCATTAGTTCAGTCATTTTTTGCATTACTAGAACCCTTTCACGTTATTTGTGGCACTGTTTGTCCTTGTCGTTAAATTTTCATGAGTCTCAATAGGAGACAGCGCTCATACTTCACGACTCAAACGATTCCCGAATCCCGCGACTGCGAGAGCGCTCCGCTGCTAATCGTTGGACCAGTGTAACTGCTAATCCGATCCATTTAGGTCCATCAGCTCAGCGATTAGCAGTGGAGCGCGATTCGCCCACAGTTTTGTTTGGAAGTGGTGAACGTAGCCTGACGCGTTAAACTAATGTGCGATTCTCTTTTTTCGCGTTAAAAAGCCACCGTTTTAAGATCCTGAACGGCTTTCGAAGTCAAGTTGGCATTGAGAACTGGACGGCGTTCACAGCACAGTTCCCACCACCATTGCGGGAGCGTCTTGCTGCGCAATACAACGTTTGACTGCTGTATGGTTGGCTTCAGCAGGCTCATATTATAGATTTCCTCATAAAATCAGCTTTCGTTTTACAAAGTTGTAGTGTGCCTTTTTAGTGTCCGATATGGTAGCTTTCCTACCCACGTGTGTATGCCCATCCGTATATTACTTACATTGCATGTTCTTCAGTTATTGTGAAAGGGGTTCTGGCATGCTGCCAAGCTTTTTTTGTCTCTCTTGGGTTCTCAGAGCCAGTAACTTCGTTGACCTTGACATGAAGTGCTGTGACGTTTTGATCTACGTTATTTTTCATTCTCTGGGTGATTTCATTTAAAATGGGTATGGGTCTTTATTTTGTGTGGCTCAAACAGATCAAACGTCGGCATTCTGAATGCGTGGTATCCGGTACTCTAAACAAGTTTTATGTTTGTTTCTGTACATCTTCGGTGTTCTTTGTTGCCAGTCCCTCGTTCAATGTGTGGATACGTGCAAGGTGACTGGTATGCACTTAATAATTTTTTTCCAAAAAATTAATACTTTCCCCCGCAGATTTTCAATTATTTCCGATTTGCAAATGCCTTTTTGCGGATTTCTCTGATCAATCCTAGTCTAGTCCATCACAGACCCAGGGCCTCCCGATCTTCGCGTATTCCATCGTGTGTTGTTAATGTCGTCCTTGTTGCATGTTTTTAGTTTATATAATATAATATATGTGTGTATATTAACACCTTTTTCGTTTTAAATACCCCCCCCCCTCCTCCTCCTCAATGTGAATGTCACATCTTCTTTGGTTGTTGTCTGTCTTGTCTTATTTATGTAGGATTTTTATAGGGTTGTGATCTTGTTGACTCCTCGTACGAGTTACTGGTCGCTAACGCGCATGTCAACAACGGGTTTGTGTGAAGGACACGATTTCGGTGGGATAGTACGAAAGGTGCAGTTCGGCTTGGTGGGGGCATTTTTCTGGTTCCCATGGATCATTGCCGATGCAACCTATGGTGACCTGTAAATACTTGTAAAGTTGCAGAATCAGGAGCTTCGCATACACTTCACAAGAGTCTACAGGTCTCACAATGGTGTGACCTGTAAGTAGACAGGAACTACTAAGAAAACTAGTAAAAAAACTAGCAAACTAGATAAATGCCACCTCTTAGCCGATCAGCGTCCTACGTGGTCATCCAGTCAACGGGGAAAATAAAGATTTTTATCGGGTTAAGGGGCGATTATCTGAGCTCCCTAGAGGGTGAGGGCTGATGTAACACGGGTGCGCAGTCCAGCTGCAAGGTAGGTTGTTGACGTCACGTAACTTGTCAGGACGTGGTCTTAAACGTCATTGACCTGGTGCAATACAGGTTTGCTCGTCACCAACCTGTTTGACTACGCTTCATCCCATTAACGTGTTAGATGACGCGTCATCTCCTAACTGGTGGCAACTGTGGACCTGTGCCACACCAGCTTACAAAGGAAATATTCAGTCTGCGATTTTTTGAGGGCTACGAAAAAAGTGATGAAAAATAGGGTAGGGAAACTAATTTCTAGTTAGCACTCCCACCAAATCGGGTTCCATGCGCGTGATGGAATTGTAATGTTCCCTACATTTCTGCTTTCCTAATGCTTAGGTGTGTCTCGTAGTGATTTTATGTTGTTAGCGTCATCAATGTGTGTACTTATACTCCATATCCCGGAGATGGAGTGGGCGTGGCTGCGTACTTCATTCGAACATGGCGTAGTATGCGTTGTACGTGAGATATTCCCATCTGAAACAAGTGTCCTCCTGTCGTGTTCTGGACAGAAACCTGTTAACTGTTGTTCCAAAACAGCCACATCCCACCAAAAGTGCAGCCGCCGTCGAGTTCAAGCGGGGTACGCAGCCACGCCCTTCCCACCTCCGGGATATGGAAAGTATGTGCTGTGTGTGTGTGTGTGTGTGTGTGTGTCCGGTCCCATAGTCCGTTGTCCGTGATACGTGTGCTGCCTTTTCCCAAAAGTCAGTTATTCTTTCCCTGTGCCCTGTCCCAGTTCCGATGTTTCCAAGCGTGCCCGTCCGTCCGTCCGTCCAATCGTTCGTTCGTCGTTCGTTCGTTCGTCCGTCCGTCCGTCCTCTTGTACGTCCGTCCGATCTCTGGTGCTCTCTCCCTCTGATCCATCTTTCACTTGTTCTCGTCTCTATATACATATTTGTATTATTAATAGTATTGTAATAATCGCTCGCTCTTGTTTAGTTTTATGTCATTCGCTTCGCAACGTTTCACATGTATCTAGTTAAGGATGTGTTTTATTTTCTATTAATAATATCCCTAATCACTTCCTATAGAGAACTTGATGATCTAGTTGTCGATGTTGAGCGACTGAAACTCGCGCTTCTATTCCGGGTAGAGTACCTGTGTTTGTTGTCCTCGAGGAATCTGTGATTAGTGTCGTGTATGACCCGAGATGACCGTGGCGAGTTCTATCAGTCTGTCCAGTGTGTATGTCTGTCTGTCAGTCTGTCAATCTGTCTGTCTGTCAATGTGTGCCTGTCCAATATGTCTGTGTCTGTATAGTAATCGCGTGGTCATTGAGGCGCAAAGCATCATGAGAACTTTTTATAACCGTCTGGTTTCGCCGGAGGCCGGCTGCCTGTGGGTCGATTTGTTGCTCTGATAAAAATTTATAGTGTCTCGATTTTCGTATTTTTATCGTCATCGTTGTTGTAACACTTAATATTGATACGCAACAAATGCTAGAGCATTGAAATCAGTTTTATCCATGACATGGATGAGAACAAATAAATTGCTCGACTTTAATTGATTCTTGGTCTCAGTGTGCGGAGTGACCCATACAGTCAGGGTTTTGGAGAATGAACCGTAATTGTAGATGAACCGTAATTGGTCGATGTGGCTCAGGGTCAGTTAGCACCGAACAGCTAGGCAGTCTAAGGAGCAGGCAACGAGCTGGACCCCTTCTGCTGTTGTGGAAAAATTTTTGGGTAACCCGACTCTCCAAATCGGCGGTACGGTATTCCCGCGTCGCGATCCTCGTACCATCTACTTGCATGTTTTTACTGACTTTTCCCTCCCGGCCTAACTCCAACTCCGCAAAAGATTCTGCTCGGAAATGGGGGGGGGAGACCACCAGAAACAAAGGTGTGCGTTTTCACCTTCCGGCAAAGAACGTAGTTGTGCTTGAAACTTACGGGGACGAAGAAAGAAACACGAACAACTATGGGGCTTTCTCTCTCGGAGAAGGTTTCTCATGAACGGCCAAATCGCCATCTCGCCCTCGGCGAGCAGTGCATCTTCATCCTAAGAGCGAAATACGGTCCTTCCACATCTGAACTTCTCTAACGACGTAGATAATGCGCCACGAAAAAGGGAGGAAAGTCAACTATGAAAAAGCTTGTTACTCATTATTACGGCCAACATGTGCTCCGCCGCTCCACGCGCACAAAACGCAGAAAAATGAGCTATGAGAAAAAAAGGTGTATCTGTATATTTTGAGGGGGCCAAATATGTGTCCGCCGTCCTCCACCGACACAATCTTCGTGGCAGAGCCGTTATACGTTTTTAAAATTTTTGCAAAACAACATTTGCCTTGCATGGCTAAGCCCTACGATGAATTTGCACTCAGTCGCAGGAAAGATCGGGCCAGTGTGTGCAAATTAATAGTAAGCTCGTTCATCCGATGGCTGCAGGAGTGGCGCGTGGGTATTAGCATGGTAACTTTCGCCACGAAAATATTTTGTTGAACTAGAAAGGATTTTGCAAAACAAAACTATAGATCGCGCTCCGGTGGGATTGCTGGCCACTGAATGGAAGGTCGTTCGTTGCGCTGCAGAGTGGACCGTGGATGTGCCTGCCCTAGAATTGAGGGATAGCGCGCGACGCTGGGCGTAGTACCCGGGGAGATAGATCTACTCTGGTCACTACTATCCCTCCCTTTTTCCGCTGCCCTTTTTCCGCTGCCTTTTGTGCAGATCCTTTCTGCAAAAGCGACCCACCCCTGTGCTATTCCAGATATGACTCCCTCGTCTGGGGCTCTTCTACCATGACGTGCCTTGACCCCAAATAGAAACTAGCATTTGTCTGATAACTTCTACTTCAAGTACGTAGTACGTAGTAAAAATTAGAGAAATCTCAATCATAATTTACCTTGTGAAGACAAGGAACAACTAACCTTAAGAAAAGCAGCCAAAAACAGTGAAAAGTAGGGAGAAAATGACTAAACCAGGCCGGAAACAGCTGATCGCCGCCAACAGTTCCTGCGTACGCGGTCGCTGCTGCAGCCGCGCCTGCAACCCGGGCACATGACAACTAAAACTTTCGCTGGGGTTCCTGCTGCGAAAGGCCAGAGCGCGGAGAAATAAAGAACTGTGGTCGTCAAGACGTCGAGAGGTACAAAAAAATGTCGCCGAGCAAGGATACAATTCTTCTCGAAGGGAGAGGACACCAGGCTGGATGAGCCACTTATTATGCGTGAAAAGTTGGAATGTGAAAGGTCAGAGGTCACAGAACGCCATGCAGACGTGAGAGCGCAGAGAAAAACAGAAAGTTGGCGCCATTGAAGGGATTGAGTTCTAGTTGAGCGTAGGCCCTGCAACCCATCACCCACCGCCTAGTCAATTGCCCGGGTGACGACTGCACTCAAAAATCTAAGGTTCCTTGTTGAGGAACAAAAAATGAACAATCTGATAAACATGTTTATCACAATCGATGCTCGACATTATATTACATGTACAATATTATGAAATAAGAATTCGATGTTGGTTCACATTGAATCATGTGTGTTAGGGTTTACTAACACATCACCTGAATATTGAGAAGGGAGAAGGTAGGAGCACATAGACCAAGAAATTGTTAACAATAACGTCTTCTGATCAAATGATAACAAATCAGCATATCACCGGCATACATGCAGAAATCCATTCTTATGCATGCTGGATGGATTCACAAACCTTTCACTAGAACCGGAAGAAAGCATGGCAATATGATAGATGTAGGCAAGCAAACAGAACACTTCCTGTCAATCACATACACATACATTCGTT